ATTTGCCGTCATGGCAAGCTCGGCACTGGTGAGGGCGGTGTTGCGGCGGAGAAGAGGGAAGTTTCCTGCTCGCGGCCGGTTGCAATTGTGACTCCACCGAAGCGTGCGAATGGCACAACTCAATAATTACGTACTTCTGTACTTTGGTATAATGTATCCTAATAATGGCCAAGCGTAGTCCTCTGCAATAATGTCTCCAGAGTCATTACTGGGCCAGTGTGCCGGCACAACATGTACAAAGCGAACTCGCCTTGCCTCCAACTCTCATGTTGCCGCAAAGCACTACCCGCTCGCTCGATGTGGCCGTTCGCGCCGCGTATGAAGACGCTATGGCTGCCATAAAAAGGTGAATCAGCATACCCATATGTGGCGTATCAGTATACTGACGCGAGCGCAGCTGTGGTAACCCGCTCAGCCCCGCCACACCAGACGTCTGGCACGTCGTCCTCGCAGCGGTTCACGAGACCTTGAAGGACTGCGCACTACTGCATAACCGCAATGCGCCCCTGATTGCGCGTCTGCCCAATGAACTCTTGGTCGATATCTTCGCTCGGCTTCCTTTCCGAGGCCGAATCTCCACTTCGCATGTGTGCCAAACCTGGCGACAAGTCTCTCTAGGGTCTCCATTGGCACTTTGGTCATACATACCTCTGACGCGCAGACCTGACGTCCTTGCTGCCTTACTGGAGCGCTCTCAATCCACGGCCGTTTACTTGCAGGAAGTTGTCGTGTTGGAGCACACCGAACAGGCGATGTCGCAATGCCTGGCACTCCATATGTCTCATATACGGAGCATAACTCTACGCCTTATCGGCGAGAGTTTTCCGACGTTCTCCTTCACAATGTTCTCGAACAGCCGGCTCCGAAGTTGGCGACATTCGCTTTCTACGACGAAACAGACGAGGGCCTCTTTTTGAGCCGCCCTCTGTTCGCGGGCTCAGCACCGCTGTGGTCCAATGCGACCATTTCCGTCCCACGTGGCGTCTTCCCGACTAGGGACTGTACCGCAGCGTTCGCTACAATCCGCACCCTCTCATTCACGACCTGCGAATTCACTCCGCAGTCATGGAGTGAAATCTTCGGCCACGGCGGTTCGAACAACTCAGTCTTCAGCTGATGACTGGTGTGGGTGCGGGTCCTGCTAGCTCGCTCTCTCCGACCTTCCCGCACTGCGTTCCTCCGAGCTTGACCAAGTTATGCGTGACAATCAAAACTTGGCTACACCACGGAATCGCAGAGTTAATCGCATGTGTCGAGCACGACACGATCCTAGACATAACCATCTGCGCTGAATGGGGTTGGACCCCTACGTTATCTCCTCTCGTCGCTGGGCTCTCGCAGCCACAACTACGACAGATGACCATATCATGCGACGAGTGCCAGATGAAAATCAGAGTCCGGTACTCTGGACAGGACGGTCACATGCGCACCTTCGAAGGGATCGCCGTCCGCGAGTTCGCAGGTTTGGGTTTCAGCCACTTCCGGACCCTGACCGACCTTACTATCACGGTCTTCAAGCACTTGGCCCAGCTGACTATCCCTGAACTCCGGTCACTGAAGTCGCTGACTCTTATCCTGGGAGAGTCGGCCGATGAACTGGGCTTCTCGGTCGGAAACAGCGTCTTGTCGTGCCCTGCGCTTGAGTCCATCTGCGTGCGCCCGGACGGAGAGGGAAAGATAGAGTACGACCGGGAGAGTACCTGGAGAGCACGCTGCTAGGTGTTGTAGACTTGTGGGAAATGAAGGTCAACGTGCTGGAGTTGCAGCTGATCTACTTCGCACATGATGCGGAATGCCTGCTTTCTCTCGCGCATACTGTGCTATACGCGTCCGAAACGGACAGAGAGACGTAGGTTTCTGTACGTGTAGCTACATGCGCAGTATCTCATTATGTATTCCCCGTGTCGTCGTGAGTCGTGCAGAGCCGAGGCCTCGCCGGAGCGCTCACGGACCGAGTTCCCGCGTTGCTGCGCGGAGATCTCCGCGAAGTCCTCTCTCCTCCCGCCACTCACGTTGGCCCAATTGATCACGCAGACATTGGAAAGCGCTGTGAAGGCTGCTTATTACTCGTCGCTTCAGACGTACGTGGGGTCGAAGCAGAGTCGTAATAGGTCTCACAGCAAACATAGGGCCCATGACACCGGCACGACAACGGACGCGCGTGACGCAGTCCTCGCTGTCGTTCATGGTGCTCTACAGCGCTGCGCCCTAGAGCGCAATACTCTCGTGCCCTTCGCTGGTGATATTCCAAGCGAGCTTCTGGCACAGATCTTCTCGTATCTCCATCTGCAGGATCGCATAGCTACATCACACGTCTGCCACAAATGGCGGAGCGCATCTCTAGAGTCTCCGGCATCGCTATGGAATCGAATAGACGGCGCGCACAGTCCTGAGCATCTTCTTGCTCGTCTTACGCGCGCTGGTTCGGCACCCGTCGACATCGTCGATCTCTCCGTCAACGGCGAGGACGCGCAGGAAATTGCCGCGCACTTGTCGAGCCACATGCGACATATACGAACTCTCCACTTTCAGGTGCTCGAAAATCCTGAGACCTGCGAAATCCTCTGCAGCCAGGCGCTCACAGTACCAGCTCCGCTGCTCAGGTCCTTGACATTCGATACGTCGACCCACTATCCGGAAGATATTCCGAATCTCTTCTCAGGGCATGCTCCATCGCTACGTCATATAACCATCACATCGGACGCCTTATCGGTGCCATGGACATCCATCTCGAACCTAATGTTCCTCACTCTCGAAACGGAATTATTCGGGTTGCGCGAATGTGCCGAAATTCTGGTGCACACAGTTCAGCTGCAGGAGCTCAAGGTCTATACAACTGGCTTTACCTGGGATTATGATGATATCGACTCAGAGAACGGTACAGTCGCACGCGACGAACGTGTGGTTGCAACGTCCAGTGTCAGCGAGGTACGCCTCGTGCAGTTAGAGCCCACCGACGGAAATGACGCCGAAGATGTATCGGGAGAATTGGATTGGCTTCAGGCGGTATCGTTCCCACTTCTCCACATCAAGCTTCATCACAGCGCATGGGAGAACTCTGCAGGCAGCCTTCTCCCTCTACTATCACCTTCTCCTCTCGAAGTCAGGCTCACTTGTCACTATGACTGGTTGGACTGTCTAATCCTTGATAACGATCGAGAGATCCGGTACCTCAATCTGCCCAGTTTCGCATTGGTGTCAGACATCATAGCCACCGCCGTGAACCTCATTGTTTGGCTGCCACCATATCCTCTGAGCAAGCTTTCCTTCTCACTCCTACCATTCCCATCGGTCAGGACGCTAAAAATCGTAATTCATCCCCTTTCCGGCACGCCCGTCTATCTGGAAGTGCCGCTGTTGTATTGCCCACTGCTCCAAACGGTTTTCATCGAGCCCGATGAACCGGACACATATCTAGGTTTCGACTATGCCGGAACTCTTGGGCGGCTCCTGCGGAATGTCGTCGATATCGATCGCCCAGTCCATTTGCTCCAAACCTCTGGCATCCGCATCATCAGAGACGTAGACTCTCTCCGCAATATCGCAGAGACCGTGATATTTCTCGATTGTGGTCTCTTCGATGCCGATTGGGCGTCATATTAATCCGGAGCCATCGTTCCGTCCGGAGCACGCAGATCTTCCTCACCTCGAATGCGCTCCTCCGGCCCTATTACTTTGGTCTACGTGCGAAGCAGGCTCGCAGTGAGCCACGTGCGATACCCTCAGATCCACCTCAGATCCTGATGTTGCCTCTCCCCTAGTCTCCTTCGCAGACCATTACGGATGAAGACGGTCGTTTATCTAGTAATCCTCTCCCCTCCCCTCCACATTCCTCATTTTTCAAGTCGTACGGTTTTGTATTACTACTAGCAGCCGTTTTCCCAGCTTGTACTGTCCGCTGGCTTTCCGGTAGTGCCTGTCTTTTGCCACGCGCATCTTCACGTCCACATCTACATGTGGTCAGTAGCTATGAATATCGCTTTTGCTCCCCCTCTTTACACTCAGAGAAATCGATCACCTCACTCTCTAGATTCATCGTCTGTACGAATGAATTGTACACCAATCCATTCAGGATCCTTGCACATCCACTGGCACCAGGAAGAAGAGCAGTTGATTCGATGAGTATATCATATCTGTCTCTCGTAGCCACCAGAGCTGTTACACGAAGCGCTGCAGATTCAAAGATGGAGAACAGCTCGGGAGCTTTGCGCGGCACTTCCAGAGGTCTCTGGAGCTCTTTGCGTGCTGTGGCCGAAGTTTCTCAGCTAGTCTATCACGCGCGCAGCGCGGTCGGCTCAGCGTGCTTGGGCGCGGGTCGAACTCTGTTCTGTCATTTCGTTTTCAAGTGTTCGTCGCCTTCTGAAACTTGTGGTATGATGTCCGCTCTAGTCCCACCACCCCAACTCTTGCACACCAGAGTCACTTGATGAGAGGAGCGGACGCTTGCATTCCCCGCTACTATACTGACATCGCTTACCAACGCTTGCGTCGCAGTCTATGCCGTCTTCCCCTCGGATGCGTCCTCAGGAACTGGTGTGACTCGCTCTTGCGTCTATTCTCTCTTCTCGTGCTCGCGGTAGTCGTCTTCCTGGCTCTGTGTCAGTCTCGCTATTCTGCTCTCCGGCGCGGCTTTCTTCCTCGGCGGATCCTTACGCGCATTTTTATGGTACGATGCTCGCACGATCGACCGCTCCAGGCGCTAGATAGTTAAACAGGCTGCATGAAAAAGGCAGGAGTGTCTTTGAGGGCCCAGTGACTTCAGAGGAACTCCGGAGGGACCTACGCTTGCCCCTCATGTGTCACGATGTGCAGGTCGCTCGCGTTCAAGGTTCCCCACCGCGACCATGACAGTGCGGCCCGGCGTCCCGGTGTCAGTGCAGTGTCAATGACCAAACGCGTTTCCGGCGCTTCTGATCAAACACTTCATTATCAGAGGTTGCCCCGTCTGAAGCAACGAACATAAAGCGGAGTGAGACATATCATACGCCGCTGAAGCAAATCCTCTGGTAGCTCAGTTGGTAGAGCATGAGACTGTAATTTGGTTAACTATGTAATCTCAGCGTCACCTGTTCGATCCAGGTCTAGAGGACTGTTGAACCAGTTGTATCTTTTTCTTTCCTTTTGGGTCGCGTCGCGTTGCCTTCGTCTTCAGTGCAGCGGAAGCCGGCCGCGCGGTTTACTTTGCCCACTCTGACAGCCAGCTCTCGTGTTTCCAGTCGCGTCTCTCTTGAAGCGCCCGCAGCCCACCTCACGCGTTGATGTAAGAGGTGGCAGGGGGACGCGCTCGCGCTCACTTTTCACTCGCACATGCATAAACTTGGTTGACTCGAGCTCGAAGTGGAGTCGAATCTAAAGTTCTGTGTGTAGGGGAGGGAGGGAGGACCGACTCAAAGCCGCGAGTGCATTCTTTCTTTCTCTGCTCGCGACTCCCATGTGAAGTCTCTGATTGATAGGTCTCTCAAGCCCACGTGCACCCGTTCAGTGAACGAAACCGCTGCTAGAGTACAAACATCTAACGCTCCGGCTCCGATGCTACTTGGGCGGTTGTCTGAGTCTCTTCGTTTCGGCGTAAGCACCGAGCAGTGGGCGAGCAAGCTTGGTTTTCGCGGAGATATGAGTTTCATAGGCATGCTAATGGGACGCGAGGATACGATAGAAGTACATCTGACAGCGAGACCGGACCGACGACATTAGAGAGGCTGGATGAGAGGGATCGGCCCGACGGGTACGATTCCTGAGGGGTTGAGCTGTGTAAGTGTGCGGTCAGCACATGCCCATAACACCAACGAAAAAAGGCGGGAACGGACCTGCTTCATACCGTTCCAGTACCCGTGCTGGATATGAGGGAAGTCGGTCGATTCTTTGAATGAGGGGTTCTTCCAGTAGAGGTTGCGGAGCCAGCTGTGGACGGCGTCAGCGAGCGGGCGGGCGGGCGGGCGGGAGGGTGGGAAGCGGGGAAGGACGGAGACAGCGAGGCAGGGAGGCAGGGAAGAACGAGACAGGGAGGTAGGGGAGAAGGGAGCGAGAAAAGAAGGAGGGAAGAACGAGAGAGGAGCGGAGGAAACGGGAAGAAAGACGGAAATAGAAGAAGGAGAGGATGTACGTACCGGTTGAGCTCGGGGTACCCGTCCCGAATGTTGCGGATGTTGCATTTGAAGAGCGGGTAGTAGGACGTGTCGAATCGCACCTAGCATTAGCATCCCCAACCAAACCACGCGTCAGCTCCCACTCTGAAACGCGCGAAAAAAACAACCTCGCTAGCGCTCGGGAACTTACGATGGTAACGAAAAGTCTAACATCCGCCTCCGTCAACACACCGCCCACAAGGAACTCCTTGCCTCCGTCTTTAAGTAACGCTTCGAGTCTATCGAGCGAAGCGAAGAGGGCATATACGGCCGTTTCGTACGCTTCTTGCGTCCCGGCGAACGCGCATTTGTACACCCCGTCTACATAGGGGGCGTGCGTCAGCACACATCCCATCCCCCAGCGCCCATCCTCCCCGTAAAGGGAGAGAGGAGAAGACGTACTGTTAACAGTATCATAGACCCATTCATTCAACCCATCAATCTCCTTCTGGAGGTGTGAGGGGTACAGATCCAATTCCGTGTTGCGCGCGAGACCTGGGGAGTTGAATTCGGAGTTGAGCATGCGGATGATTTCGGATGATTCGTTGTTGACGATCGTGCGGTGGTGGGTGTCCCAGAGGACAGGGACTGTGACGCTACGGGGGAGAGCGAGTCAGCGAGAGGGAGAACGGAAACGTAGAAAGGCAGCGCGGACGAGGAGGGCGGAGAGGGGTGGAAGAGGTAGTGGACGAAATGGACAGGCTGGATAGGAGGATGTAAAGGGCGCGAGGAGTGGACGCGAAGGACAGGGAGCGCAGACGAAGCGAAGGATGGAATACGCGCAGAACGGGAACGGATGGAAAAAGAGATACACGTACCGCCCACTAAACCCCGGCTGCGCAATCTCATAAACATCCTTCAGCTCCTTCGCGCCGTTGTACGGATCGGCCGTGGCGCCAGGGAACGGCACCGCGTCGCCCATAGGCCATCCTTTACTCGGAGTTACAACCGTCATACCTACAGCGTCACACGTCAGCAATGGGGAGGACGGGAAAGGGAAAGGAAAGCGCACCGATAACGTCCTCGAGGCCTTTCAACCGTCTGGTAATAATCGTCCTCGTCGCCCACGCTTCAGTTACCCTATCAGCACCACCGCAAGAAAGAAGACCAAAGCTGGGAGAAACGCACGGCATCCAAGAGAAACGTATAAATGATAACGTCCTTTCTCGGGCGTGAAGCGCGCGCCGGGGTCGGAGGAGATGAAGTCGCGAAAGCTGGATACGACGCGTTGGAAGGAGCCTTTGGCGTCGAGGGCTTGTTTGGTTGGGTCTGAGACGTCGACGGTGTGCGTTGTGGTTGTCATCGTGCGCGTGCGGGTGTGGGTGTGGGTGAGCAGGCGGGCCGGGAAGTTGGTGCGTGCGCGGGATGGGAAGGTGGTGCGTGCGCGGGTGTTGCAGGCGCGGGACGGGACGCGTACGATGCGGAACGCCGACAACAGCGTGCGTGCGTGGAACGGCGATGTACGAGCCTGTGTGGCTGTCGAGGCAAGTGGCGTTATATGTACTGTACGCGGATGGGCCGAGTCCGGATGCGTCAGCGTGCGCAAACGTGCTGATCCATAGCGCCAATCCACGGGCGTAAACGGTCTGACGCGGCGCTGAGTCAGTTAATGTGCCCGGTCCCAGTCAGGGCAACGTTAACGACGAGTGGAACGGACATGTGTAGTGGCGGGCGCCGGGATGAGGACAAGCGCTTGGACGGCAATTCGCGCTCAGTTCAGGGCGGACTTGGGGCGGACACGGGACAGTCAGAACGGGAAGCAGCATCGATTAGACTAGCTGTGCAGCGAATAATACAAGGAAGGGTACGAGTACATCCAAATAACTTCAAGTGTAGTGTCCAAATCATGCAGTCGGGTCGTTCAGACGCTGCTGCGCCTGGCCCTTATCGTGCTGCGCGTTACCTTTGAACCTGTGAGCACCCAAGGAAGAAGAGAAGTATGTGGACGAGACGTACCAGACACCTGCTGCTGCTTGTCGCCGGTGATAGCGCCTACGATCGAGTCCTTCTTGCCCTCGACGCGGTCCATGGTACCCTCGACGTACGCCTTCGACTCGGCAGCCTTGATCTCAGCTTCGCCCGCGGCGTGCTCTTTACGGCCCGAATCCGTCCACGTCGTCGCGCCCGTCATGTTGCCGATCTACGCGAAGCCACGAGCGTCAGCGAGTGCGAGTGCGCGAGGGGCGAGCGAAGGAGTTCGCGGGAATGGAAAGAAGGAGGAAGGAGGACGTACGGTCTCGACGACGGTGCCCTTGAGCGAGTGGTACTGGCCGGTAGTCTTGTTCGGCTCGTTGTTGTTGTAAGAAGACATGTTTGTGTGAGTGTGGATGTGTGTTGGTGGGGTGGACTCGATGGACAGGGGGCGTCTCTTATAGGGGTGGCGCAGAGTAATGACGTCACGCGAGGGTTCGGAGTCAGTATGAAGGAACGGGCAATGACCTCAGTGGTCTCGATGACGTAGGGATCCACATAGCGTGTCGAGAGTTCCGAACTGTTCGAGACACGTGGGAAGGACAGACGTCAGGACGCGTGCACGTGAACGCGGACGAAGCAGAAGTTCAAGTTGAGCGGGCTGCGGAAGCCGAGTTGAAAAGATATATAGGAAGGCGACTAAGCTTGCTCGGTAAAGAAACTCCAAGTATGGCAACCGGCATACAAGCAGACGGTCGAGAGAGAAGAAAGAAAAGGAGAGGGACGCGTCACCTCCGCACCGTGACGGTAAGCGCCGGCCGTCACGGTCTTTCTTCCCTTCGCTTCCTCGTTTGCCCCTACATACCAGCCCGCGCACGCTTTGCAACGCGCGACTTTGACTTCACACCTACCATTTGCCTGTGCTACCCCGCGGTCGAGACGTACGAGAAAACTCTGTCCTGTTGTGTCCAAACGTCTTCCTGCAGTACGACACGCTCTGCCACTACCACTATCTAATCTTTCGCGCTGAAGCTCATTGGTCTGAGGTGGGACACTGGTTGTTGTGCCCGCATTTCCGTCATCTGGCTCGCGAGTCATGCGTCCAGCGCTGCGAGAGACCGCCGAGGTTTATTCTGCGCCTGCCACTGATATTACAAACGCTCCGACACTCATACTTAGAGGATCCCATCTGGAATCCGCACCTCCGCGGCCCTGAACGACCTGGAGACGGAATGCAGTTCTTTTGCACTATTACCCGCGTCCCTTCGAAGTGTTCCGACTCGGAACGCGCACTACACGTCGAGAGTTCCTTGCAGATGCTCTCTGAACATTTGTCAAGCTGTAGACAGGTCATGCAATGGCGGATCGGAATACCGTCATCAATACGACGTCGAACTTGCGCGGAACGTATTGCTTCCGTCATCACGCACGGAAGTTCATTCCGTGATTCGAAGTCAGCAAACGCCCTTTTCTTCCTGACCATCATCATGACCGCCGCCTTACCGGCAGATGTCGCTCACGCCTTGAGCACTGCCGTGGGACAGGCTTATGAGCACGCGGCACTTGCATTGTCTGCTGCAGTGGGGTATGTGGCGCGCCTTTTCTGGCGCAGGAACGGAACTGACGAGCTGGAGCAGATCCGATGTTGCTGTAACGACAGAAGTCCGACAGACCGTTCTCGATGTGGTATACAACGCGATTCAGCGATGTGCACGCCGTGATACTGCCTCCAAGGCGCTCGTCGCGAAGCTACCCGTCGAGTTGCTCACAGACGTCTTCGCGAGCTCGCGTTCCCGGATCGTGTTCGCACGAGCCACGTCTGCCATGCGTGGCGGGACATCTCGCTCGCCGCTCGCGCGCGACTGTGGACGTCGTACCCTGCTACAAACCAGCCGCATATCCTCCGAGCATTCCTCGACCGCGCGGGAAGCTGGCCAACTCGTTTATCAGTCATCGAGGCGCTTCCGCACTCTGCCTCAGACATTGCTATGATCCTGGGCGAACACATGTGGCATATCAGTGTCTTGATGCTTCGTTTTCCCAATGATCTAGC